CACATCGACACAGTGCTGTCTGAAGAAGATACTGTACATGGAACCAGATTTCCAGGCCCAAAAATCAATGCTGGAAGAGCATTGTGAGAAGCGTGGATATGAAGTGATTTTCTTTCCGAAATTTCATCCGGAGCTCAACTTCATTGAGCAATGTTGGGGCTACGCAAAACGGATCTACCGCATGTTCCCGGAATCTTCCACGGAGGCGGACTTGGAGCGGAATATGCTGGAGGCCATTGATTCAGTTCCGCTTTCATCCATGCGTCGGTTTGCCATCCGCTCGTCCAGGTTTGCTGATGCATACTTCCACGGGCTGGACGGGGCAGATGCGGCATGGGCCAACAAAAAATACTGTGGCCACAGGACTCTTCCACCCAGCTATCTTGAGGACCTTCGAATTAGATGGCAATCCATTGGTAGAAGATAAATAAATTGATTCTTGGTGCAACGTCTTTAGTAAACTTGATGAGCTAACTCCGAAAAATCCGGGCATTCATTTGGTGCCTTCATTTCTCCGAGTTTGCTAATTATGCTGACAGTACAACCGGGAACTATGTTACAAAATGGTTGGGAACACCAGTGAAATACAAAAAAAAAAAAAAAAAAAAAAAAAATCGAGCTGACTGTCTGTACAGCACCCTGCCTCTACAGGGAAAAAAAGTTTTTGAGTCTGAAATTTCGCGCTTTCCCACGTTACTGTCACGCGTTCCATCACACACACGTGACTCGATGGATGCACATGGCACCTATCTTATGGTTATCCGGTTCCGACCGGGTAAGCTCAGTGGAAAACCCGATGTGTTGATTAGATGATGGGACGTCTACCCAAAAGAGGGGGATAAGCACTACACTCAGTTAAATCCTCACAATTTTCGTCCTATTTTCACTCAAGAACAACTCGATGCATCGCTTCGAGCCACATTCCTAGAAGAGATTGTTCTTCGCGCTTCGGTCGTCTTGGATATCGCTCAGCTATATGCAGACATCAAGGTCCATATCCATTCCGACCCGGCTGCAGCTGCCGGTCTAGCGGCTGTCGCTTTAGGAAAAACCTCGCGCTGGACTATGAATGACGATGGTCTACTTCGGTATGATGGTCGCATCTGGGTTCCGCAGGTCTCAGGTGAATCTCCCGACCAGCTTCGGATTCGCGTCATGCAACATTTACATGACCATATCCTTGCTGGGCACTTCGGACAGAACAGAACTCTCGCTAAGGTACGAAGCGAGTACAGCTGGCCCGATCTTCGGTCTTTCGTTCGCGATTATTGCAAATCCTGTATCCTGTGCAAGCGCAACAAGGCCCTGCGACATCGGCCGTATGGTCTCCTCAAACCCCTCCCGGTTCCCCTTCGTCCGTGGCACTCAATATCCATGGACTTCATCGAGCAACTCCCGATGTCGGGCGAGTACGATTCGATCCTAGTGATCGTTGATCGCGCGTCCAAGCAAGTTATCCTGATTCCTTGCGATGTCCACATTGCATCGGAACAGCTCGCCCAACTTTTCCTTATTCACGTTTTCTCCAAACACGGGGTTCCGACTCATGTCACTTGCGATCGAGGAAAGGAATTCATCTCGTCCTTCTTCCGATCGCTCGGCGAATTACTTAACATGAAGATGCACTATACTTCCGGTTATCATCCCTCGGCCGATGGACAGACCGAGCGAATGAATCAAACCGTCGAACAATACATCCGGATATTCTGCTCGTACCAGCAGGACGATTGGGACCGACTCCTCTCGCTCTGCAAGTTCGCTCTCAACAACGCTCCAAACGCATCAACAGGTATATCACCCTTCTTCGCCAACAAGGGCTACAATCCGACGATCACAGTTCACCCGGAAATCGATGTCGCAAATACTTACGCCAAAGATTTTGTTGTCGACCTCCAAAACCTTCACCAATTCCTACGCGAGCAGATCACATATGCTCAGGAGCGGTACAAGGAAACTGGAGATCGGGTTCACACTCCCAATCCCGATATTAAAGTTGGCGACCAGGTTTTCGTCACTACGAAGAATCTCAACACGACCCGACCGACTCGGAAGTTCACCGAGACTCATGTCGGGCCGTACGAGGTCATCGGAAAGCCCTCGGCTGCTTCGTATACCATTCGCCTCCCCAAATCCCTATCCCAAGTTCATCCGGTTTTCCACATTCCTCAACTTGAGCCTCACTTCCCGAATCTGTTCCCTGGTCGCGAAGAACCTCTCCCCGCAGCGGTCGAGGTAGACAACGAGGGCGAGCATTTCGAGATCAAAACAAATCGTCAACTCAAAGCTCGATAAAAGGTTCAACAAACCTTTATTCTATCAAGTGGAATGGCTCGGGTACGAGAACACCGATGAACAGTATGGGTGGGTCCCCGCCAAGGACTTAGATGCTGCTGAGCACATCGAAAGCTTCCATCGACGTTATCCGAACAAACCCGGTCCCGAGAATCGCAAATAGATGCGACCCGACCCTCAGGTCGGCTCGCCTTACTCGGATCGCTATCGACAAATCAGAAAATGATCGTATTTAGATTCAAACAAGAAAAAGAAACCAAGAAAAAATACAGTCCGTCTATTCATCGTCCTCATTCTCTTTTTCCTTTTCCTTCCCACCATCCTTCAAACTGCCCAAAATGAACTCCTTCGCCTTGGCCCTCGCTGCGTCGTACCTCACTAAATCCGCCTCCAACTCGCGCTCCTCGGATGGCGACTTGGCGGGATACAAGCCCCACGTATCGATGGGTGGCAGGCGCGGAAGAAATCCATGCTCGCCCTCGTTGAGTGGACCAATGGGGGTGGACTCGCTGTAGTGGTACCAGACCGGGGCAACCGGCCGGTGCGACATCGCCCAGGAAAACCCGGGCTCAAAGTCCCGGATCTCTTCCGCAACCTGAACCCGAGTCCGATGGAATTCCTCCTCTCCTTTCGCCTGGAGAAGCTGGAGTAGGAAGTGGCGAAGGACCACTATCTAGCGGCCGTTGTGAGTCGTGCGATAGAGAGTCAAATCTCTGGTCATGTCCTCCCGGTTCTCCAGCTCGGCGATCCTCTCCTTCAACGTCGCGATATCATCCATCGCTTCCCGCAACTGGTCGTGGTCGCCCCGATCGGAAACCTCTGCTCGCTCCCTCCGAGTCAGCGGGTCGCTTCGCAGGATTTGCTGGCAAGACGGGTGATTGGGGTCGGGGATCTGTTTCCCGTCCCGACCTCGCTTCGACATTGGGGTTTTCGGCGGCGTGCTCGGGTCTTCCGACCCTTCCGACCTTTCCAACCTGGGCTTGCGCTACTGGTGTGGGCGAGGTCTGGGTTCGCCAGTACTGAACGAACATCGGACTCGACGCTCGCAACAGCGTACGCACGAATTGTCGCCATTCGTGAGCGTCTTGGAGATGCAGTCGTCACCGAACCGAATACACGCCTTGCATTCTGAAGTCGATTAGCTTGCGACTCCTAACTGGCAGCGAAAAGTCACTCACTCCCCGACCCGACCAACGAGCCGCTCGTCGCTACTTTCCGAACCTTGATGATGCTTCCCGGTGGCGCTCCGCGCTCTTCCGGTTTCTCCGCGACGACCGAGCGACTGACACCCATCTTGCGGGCGTATGCTACAACCTTGGAGGAATCGAGGTGTTCCATGTCCTCGATCTGCTTCTTCGCCTGCTGCTCCTCATTCCGGCTCATTTCGATCTGGTGTCGTGCGGCCTCGGTAATACGCGCCTGCATTCGCTGAATCTCCGCGAGGTCCCTAGCGCGTTTCTTCGCCGCCGTGTCCGCCTCTGCCGCTCGTCGCCCCTCCTCCGAATTCTCGTCCTCAGGATATCCTCGCCTGCCCCTCGCATCATCACCATTCCCTCTGCTAGATCCACCAACGGCACCCTTCTGGTTGTTGTTTGCTGCGGACATGGCGTTGTGGAGCGCGAAGGTGACGAGGAGATGGTGGCGAGAAGAAAGAAGTGAAAGTCAACTTACGGCACCGCACCACGTGATCAAATCAACACGCGACGACATTCAACAATTTTCGGCGAGATTTATTTTTAATTAAATTCTTCAACCACAGCAGTTTTCCCCAGGACCTGAGTCGGACTATTGTTCGCCTAGGGATCCGAACCCAAGAGGGGGATACTGTTATGTCCGTGCAACGGCTTACTCGGTCGGCCGACGCGAGGAAGCTCGGGAACTTTCTGAGATGTCGGAAAGTCCTCGGGTTATCTTCCCGAGGTTGGGTTCAGCGCAATGAAGGTCTGCTGAGCGTTGCCCGTTTATCCTGCCTTATGTTTGCCTCACGTTTGCCTCATGCTCGCCTCATGTTGTCTCAGCCCTGGGACTTCTTTGATACTACCATACTAGACTTCCATATTGGGACTTTACCTTGTTGTCAAGTCCACATGCTCCCCATCCGATAACGCTGGATATTCCCACCACTATACTAGAACTACTATTTAATAGCCTTAGGATACATCCTGTTCTTCAGTTTAATAATTGAGTTGCTTTGCCTTCCCCGCATTGCCTCTGGGTTCTTTCCGACTTCTCTCTATCTCGCTTTCCCCCCGCTGTAGCGCGAGTAGTACGCTCACCCTCGCTCCTGTGGTGTTGCGTCACTCCGAGCCGTCAGTGCCCTTCCCGATAAGTCGGGTAACCTCCCGACCCGACGTCGCCCGACCCGATCTCGTTCCAACTTACCCTCGCTGCTCGCTCGGTCCCTTGCTCACCTCTCCTCTGGGCCTGGACATAACAAAAACTTACCCCCTACCATAGGGCCATACCTCTGATATGTATACAGTGGACCATCGAAAATGGCTGAATTATGACACAGGGACGAGCTGAGGTCAAACATTTCCTTTTAGGATGCAAAGCAGGAGTGTCCTAAAATAAAGTCGTCATCAAGTGTCTACTTTTATCACGAGTGCTGCATGCCTGTGACTGTTCTCCTTCGCACTCAGACACATGGACTTTTCAGATCTTCGAATGTTTGGTGTCAAAAAAAAAGAAGATTCATCAAAAGGATACGACACTGGCATGATTCGAACATGCGCCCAGAAACTGGAACAGATCAAGGTGGCGAATTCGAATCTGTCGCGTTAACCACTCCGCCACAGTGCCGTCATAGGGATCCTCCCTGGTTGGGTGCTACTGGACTTAAATTAGGACACCGCCAACATCAGAGATGTTTCTTCAATTTTCTTCGGCGTCGTATGTTCCGAAAGGGACCACGCTGGTCAATTTATCCCGAGTCTTATCCTGATTTATAGTAAGTTACTTGGCTCCCTCGTCGATATTTCCCCAAAAGTCTGAAGATAAGGTAGAGGGATCAGGTTCGCTGAACTTTGATCGCAAGGAGGGTGCGGGCCGGCTTTGCCGCGGCCAACGGCCTAGATATCGTTGAGATATCGAGTCTTCTACCATGAACGACAAGCCATTGGCCCCCACCGGCGCGCCCGCAGGCGCGAATTACGTCCTCGTTTGCCACGGCGGTGCTGGTACCATGTCCCGAGGTGGTTCGACGCCAGAGCAACGCGCAGAGTACCGCGCCGCGTTACGCGCCGCGCTGAAGGCGGGATACAAGATTCTCAGTGCGGGCGGTAGGCTTTGAACTGCGTAAATGAAGCCCTGTGCTTATCCGCTGCAAGGCGAGGCCATGGACGCGGTCACGGCGGCGGTATCTTCGATGGAGGGTGTGCCGATTTTCCTCCCTTTTAATCACGCGCTCACGCAACACAGACTGCCCGCTCTTTAATTCCGGTATGTCCCGCACACTGTGCACTCCCCAACCTCACGTGCGCCAGGCAAGGGCGCCGTGTTCAACACCGCCGGAAAGGTGCCCTGCCTCCGTAACTTCCAGTCAGAACTCTCAACTCAACAGCACTTAGAACGAACTCGAAACCTCCCTGATGCTCTCCAAACCCCCCGCATCGCACCCCACAATCCCCCCCGCTCGCCGGGGCGTCGGCCTCACTCTCCTCACACACGTCCGCAACCCAAGCGCCCTCGCCCGCGCCCTCTATCTCGCGCCCGACCTCCTCCCACACCCCTTCCTCTCCGGCGCAACCGCCGAATCCCTCGCCGAGTCCCTCGGCCAACCCCTCGTCCCTTCCTCCTACTTTTACACTAAGAAGCGCTGGCTCGAACACCGGCGCGGGCTCGGGCTGCCCGATGAGCCCTTCCCATACCCCGATCCCGACGAGGACGAAAAGACTGGTGATGACTTCCCTCTCCTCGACTTGCAGCCGACGGGCACGGTGGGCGCGGTGGCGCTCGACGTGCGGGGCTGCATCGCGGCACTCACGTCGACGGGCGGACGGACGAACAAGCTCGTCGGGCGCGTGGGTGACACGCCGCACATGGGCGCCGGGTTCTGGGCCGAAGAATGGCCGGCGGGGTGGGTGCAAAACACACCGCAAAAAGGGAAATTTCGGCCCGGCCGAATTGGTTCCCGAAACCAGTAGATTAGGCCACAAAGAAAATGTCGCTGAATTTGTGTCCGAAACTATAAGATTCAGCCTGGCGAGAACGTTGCCAAAACCTATAGAATCAGCAACATTTTCGGCAGCGCTCAAACTGTGTGTGAAACCACTGCATTCGGCCGGGCCGAAGATGTTGCCGAAATCAGTAGATTCGGCACCGGTTTCGGCCAAGACGAAACCAACGCTTTCGGCCCGGCTGAAAGTGCGGCCTGAATCAGTAGTTTCAGCCGCGCTTTCAGGCTAGCCGAAAGCACTGGTTTCGGCCTGGCTCAAACTGCAGCTGAAGACAATAGTTTCAGCTACAGTTTAGGGCAGGCTGAAGTCAGGGCCTATTCTTATTGTTTCAGACAGAGTTTCGGCCGAGGTCGAAAGCAATGCTTTCAGTCTGGCTGAAACTATTCTGCAGCTGAGCGGCCGCTTGGCGGCTGCTCAGCGACATCGGCGGTACCACTCGGCGGCAGGCACTTTTTTATTTCGCAAATTCTGATGCCGCAATATTGTGGAGCTTTATATTGCTGAGCTGGGAGTCAAGAGCAAGTAGGAAATGGGAATCAAGGCTCCAACGACTCTCTTGAAGACGTGTTCTTTGGTCATGTTTGGTCCAACGCGCTCACGTGCATGTGGCGGTGCAGTCTTATTGTTCAACCGTCCTGCCTCCTCTTATTGTTCCTGTTGTTCTGCAGGTAATTGTTTTACATAAACATTAAATAACCCACAGCAATTTTTCCTGAGGAGCAGGCGGTACTTGGCGGTGGTAGGCAGCATACGTTGTTTGACTTTGATGGTGAGCAGTCGGGGAAAGAGGCCCATGGTTGACATGGATCACGCATTGTGAGCGGTAGGCAGCAGTGGTCTCCCGCTGCTCATCACAACTAATTTTTCTCTGTATGGAATAGTGAAATAGCAGCTTGAACTCCTTCAACAATTTGTGGGGGTATAGGCGGTACCACCATTACCCTAAATGATATTTAGTACCAGTTGGCGGTGGTGCGGCCTTTCGGCTTATATTTACTCTCCTTCTTATTGTCTTGCACAGCACATAACACCTCAAGCTGACCGCATATTACCTCGTGAGATTTCGGTTCGGTTCCTCATCCTGCCGCCGAAGACAGATAATGGGTCACCGGCTAAAACTCAATCGGCGGGGGTACAAATTATAAAGCTAATAGAAATCCGGGGTTTCTTGAGCAACATCTCAGGAATAGGCGGACGTATCGTGGTTTGGACGGTACTCCACCATATTGAGGTGAGAGAAAGATCAGCGGCCGTGGAAGCGTACCACGCGGAAATTTTTATTACCGCTCATGAGCGGCAGTCATGGGCTGGTTATAAGAGTTGCTGCGGCTAATCTAAGAATCATTGAATGTCATCTATAGCATATTTCGAAGTGAGATTTTGGCGGTAGCGCGGCGGTGTCTGGAGTCCGCACCCTGACCTGGTAAGCATTAAGGCAGGGCCGCGATATGATCACCCGAAGACCAGTCCAGAGAAACTTGAACGAAAAACCAGTGACTATATACTGGGACCACCAAGTGCAAGAAACAAAATTCACAAACCTCGTATGCCGCCACAACCCATGCAGCAGCACCAACTCCACGCGCAGCGATGCATCGTCCTCCGCGATCTCCTGTCCCTCAATTCGCACGTCCCCTTCATTCCCCTCTTCCCCGTGTTCTGCATTTACCCCACCAGCACCTGCACCTCCGCAACGCATAGATGCTGCTTCAAATTCGGGTTGTATGCCGCACGCGCGTGCACGAGGACCTGCGAGGACCCCGCGAGAGCTGTCGATGGTGGGCTAAGGAAATAAAAGAGTAGTCGACGTTCAAGCACATGTGCAGCGCTGCCTCGCAAGATGAAACTAGGCGATAAAGGACAGGCTTCGCCAATGTTGCCAGTTGATACGTAAGCCCGTCAACGCGTCGCGCCTTTGACGTTTTTTTTGGGATATGGTCAATCATTGACCGCAGGATTTAGTTTTCCAGTCGAGGTCGCCGACGGCGTTGCGTGGCTAACTATGCTGGCAGCGCAATGCGACACTGCTCAGCTGCTCGAAGTATCCGGGATCCTTGTACAACGTATTTAAATATACGAGGCCATTGAGGGGAGTTGAGATCCGCAGCAGGGGCCAGTTAAAATCCCGAGGTCAGCTGGCGCGTTGAGGGAGCAGTCGGCCGAGAGCGTTGGCTAAGCGGGAGAGCAGGGAACGGGTCTGTGCGTCGCAGCACTGCCACGGATGTAGGCGGTAATGCGGCAGTGCAGAATTTTCAAAGGAAAAAATCGGCGGGCGTTGAGGTACAGACGACGTGCATCAGGGATACTTGAGTGGGAGGGCGAAGGTCGATTATAATTCCTCTCACGAGGGACAGCAGATATTTCACAGTACGGGCGATGTGCACGGAAACGACTTTTCCGCCGACGTCGCTGCATCTGCTGGCCAAGCAAACACAAAAATCCCTCCCAGGCTCCAGGATGTAGTTTAATTGCCTGATAAGCCCACAACATTTATCCTCATCGACCACCGTAGGAAGAACTGCGGCGGCATCGCGGTCTGGTGGGCGGCGGCGTCGGGAACAAAAAGAATGCATGTTTCCAAACGAGTTATCCCCTGGCTCCCGAGACCTCGCGAGAGACTAAGATGCGGAGCGGAATCGAGCGGAGTTGGCGGTGCTTGGTGTATGTCTATGCAGAGGAAGTTTTGAGTAACGTTTAATATAAATTGAATGGGGGAAGAAAAAGAAGGAAAGGAAAAGGGTAAGGGGAGAAGCAAGTAGCCCTCACCGATCACACACCGCCTAGGCCATGCCGGCTCTACACCCTATTTCTCTCCGCACTTGCCTTCCTGCAAAGAAATGTGTGGTCAGCCTTCCGCCCATGATTTCAAACCAAACAAAAAGAACACGTATGTGGAAATGGGACAAGTCAACGGGAGGAAAAACGAACATACCTATACCCCCGGGTGACCCACTGTCTGCAAATCCGCTGGTTACGGTCGCGGGGAAGGGGGAGCCGGCGGGCATCTGCGACAAAGAAAATAATAATTAGAGGGAAAGGAAGAATGAAGGGGGAGTGGGAGGGGAGAGGAAAAGCGCCAGGTGAGACAGAGCAAGACCGTCTTCCTGTCCCGCCGGCGACAATTGGTATAATAAATCGGCGCCGGTCGAAAGACGCGAAAGTTGCCGCCTCGGCTACCACCAATCCTCGAAAGAAAAGGAGCAAGCGACTCACCAGCAACCCACTCCTCCCGCAGTCTTCGTCGTCCTGGACAAGTGTTCCGCGTTGTAGTTGTGTACACCCCCGCCGACGCACCCCGCCCTGTCCCTGCGCCAAACTCGCATTGGCGTTCAAAGCAGGGGTAGTAAGCGTGTTGAACCGGGCCGCTCGCCCTCCTGCACCCCACTCTGCCCTTGCTCATGTGCACGCGCGGCATTCACGAGGTGGGCAGAATGACGCGGTCTCGGCGTCGTATTTGCGCTCTACAACAACAACACGTCCAGATGTCCGACGCGGTCTTCGGGGAGCGGTCCCGCCCCAATCGTCCTTAAGGCCTTCCCGGCTATGCCTACTCCCACTTCCACTGTCCCCGGTGTGTCGACCACCACCATCCCCACTGTGTCTGCGCCCCAGTCGCGATCGCGT